AATAATAATAATAGTAATATATAGCATTTGTATTGTGCAAATGCCCGCTCAACAGCAAGCTCTATGCGCTTCACAATCTACACTATTACCCCAGCAGACCTGAGAGCATTCTGAAACAACATCAACTTCCTGGGAAGCATACAGTGCAATAGCTGAAAATAAATCTGTATGACCAATACATTTTATACCAAATGTTTATCTTCAAATGAATCTGTACACATCTGGTTTATCGAATTAACTTGTAGTTACGAATCATAACTAAAACAGTTTTGCCATTCTGTAGAGCTGTTTGACAGAGCCGATTTTTTGTCACATTGAACGTTTTTACCCAATCTTTGCAGGCTGCCAGCACTTTCAATGATATAAGCGTGCTCTTCAACTTGTCCGTGAATATAGAAAGTCAGCTGGACTCGCTTGAGGCATTTCTGGAGAATGACATTGGTTTTTTGAGGGTGAGAAATTTGTGTGTTTGTTTTTTTGTTTGTTTGTTTGTGTGTGTGTGTGTGTGTGTGTGTGAGCCGGCGTGCATGCGTGTGTGCATGTGTGTGTTTCCTGTCTCAAAGCTCTTTATGTCCTGCACTGCTGAAGGATGTGTTCCACAGTTTGGTCTTTTTTGCCACACTGACATTCTGCTGATAGTACTAGTTTAAAACATAGTTCTGTACTTGCTATGTCTTGTGTGTTGTGTTGTTGGTCTGAGGATAATAACTTGTTCTGTGTGAGACATCTCATATAAAGCGGGTGGCATCTTTTTTGGGCGATGGGCAATTTTTTTCTGATTTTCTCTTTTTGGTTCAACACCTTTTATGTCCATTTACAAACTCATTTCTGTGTGGATTTTACTGAAAACATTGATAAAAGGTACACAAAATGTAAGTTTTCAGTTTCCAAGGACTCTTATGCTATGGAAGTTACCAAACTTTGGCAGCCGTTTTCTCGATAATTTTACAACTGAAACCAGGTGACCCTGACCTCCTTCAATCGCAGGTATCTCGACTTCTATTCAACATAGATTAATATTTTTTTCACCCAAAGGAAGGAACATGAACGGGCCTTAAGATGATAACAATAACTCACTTGTATGCTTAAAAATGGACTAGCGTCTGATTCCACCACGTTGTGACACAAAGTTTTATCTGGTATCTGTGATGCTTTAAATTGCGACTTTCTCTTGTGGCTTTCAGGATTTCTTTGCAAGTGAGATGTGCAGGAACCTGGTGGGTTTTTCTACCCTTCTTGGAAATTCTCCTCAGATGCAACAGGTTCAAACAGCTCTGAGTGCGTTTGGTGAGTGCTGGGAATTGGAAAGTGTGTGTGGGGATGGGAGGTGGGGGGGAGGGG